TGAAAGAAAAAAAGTTTTGTTTTTTTGAAGGGCCAGTGTAAGGCATGAAAATGTGGTTTGTTGTCTCAGGGCAACGCTATACAGTAGACGGTAACTCCTCTGTACAGCATATGCCATTATTTAATCAATCCTCAAAACACACACAGAAACATTGAATTTTAATGTAAAACACCCCTAAAGCTAAGATATAAAATAGCCGTTAATATTAGTGTGAGTATGCTTGGAAAACCTCCAGCCTCCTAATGAAGAGTAGAAAAACATTGACTATGATCATATAAATGCACACAAACACATCTCTACACACATATGCAAATGCATTATATTGCCTGAAAAAAATTGGGCTTGTGAAGCCGCTTGTGAAGTGGCTGTTTGGTCTCTCCAATGTAGAGGTCTGGGCATTCCTTGCTGCACTGTACAGCATACACCACGTTGTTAAGTCTGTGTTTTGGAGTTTTGTCTTTCGGATGAACCAGTTTTTGTCTGAGTGTGTTGCTGGGTCTGAAAGACTTAACAACGTGGTGTATGCTGTACACTGCAGCAAGGAATGCCCAGACCTCTAAATTGGAGAGACCAAACAGCCACTTCACAAGCGCATGGCACAACATAGAAGAGCCACCTCCACAGGACAAGACTCAGCAGTCCATCTGCATCTTAAGGATAAAGGTCACTCTTTCGAGGATGCCAATGTTCACATTTTGGACAGAGAGGACAGATGGTTTGAAAGAGGAGTGAAAGAGGACATCTATGTCCACTGTGAGCGACCATCCTTGAACAGAGGCGGTGGTTTACGACACCAACTCTCTGCCATCTATAATCCAGTTTTGAGTTCCCTTCCCAGACGCCTTAACGCCCATTCACATCCTGGGCCATCTGACCTCAGTCTATGAACTAACCTCAACTAACTCTAGCTAACAATGTTAGCTTGGTGCCAAGTAGCCTTCATTAACAGTAATAATTCACACAGCAATGGTACATCGAAGACACTGAGGTGGCACTTAAACCAGGTAGCTACCACAACTGAAACAAGATAGTTGTAGTAGGCTAACCATAGTTTTTAAAAAAGAACTTACTTCCAGATGGTTGGAGGTGGAGTCTTAAGATGCTGAGAGCAGCTTTGTTGCTGGAAACAGAGTTTGCATTGCATGGTCAGATTTCACCCATCCCTTTCGTCTTTAAATGTGAAGTGTTGTTGGAATTTCCCAGTAAGAAATGCATTTCTGACCATGTGCTGCTGGCTCTGTTGTGCTGGCTTCGGGTACATTGTGTAGCTGACGCCAACAACATGCTTACATTAGAACGCTTATTGTGTGTTTAGTTTGGGTTTTCGGCAATGTGTGGAATTACCAAAATTAGAGAGGGGATAGCCTAACATATTAAACAGGAAAAAAGCACCATGTAATTGATTTATTTCAACAAAGTAACTGTAATCTAATTATCACCTTTTAAATGGTAACTGTAATGGAATATAGTTACTTATATTTTGTATTTTTATTTTAATGCTGGTACATGTGTTCCGTTACTCCCCAACACTGACAAAAATGAATAACAATTACCAGCAACTCAGTTTGAATGTCGTGTCTATCCCTTCTTCAGAGCCTTTTCTCCATTTTGAGTCTCCTGATAAAGCTGATATTTCTGAATTCGTATGTAAATCAAAGCCTGTCGTGCCCATCGTGAAATCTTGCCTCTCCAACTCATCACTTCTATCATTCACTCTCCACTCACCACTGGTATTGTTCTTCCCTTATTCAAGATTGCTTCAGTCACTTATATACTGAAAAAAAACATTCCTTGGATCCTGACAACTTTAACAACCTCCGCCCGATTTCTAATTTAACATCATCTCTAAAAGACTTTCCTAGAAAAAATTGTTGCAGCTCAACTTCATTCACACATGATTAATAATAGTATCTATGAGAGATTTAAATCTGGCTTCTGCTCATGTCACAGTACAGAAACCACTTTACTTAAAGGTTACTAATACTCTTTTACATGTAGTGGACTCTGGTATTCTCAATATTCTTGTCCTTTTGGATCTGAGATCAGCCTTTGACAATATGTCTCACTCTATTCATCTAAGCAGACTTAACTGTCTTGTCATCTCTGACATATCCCTAGCCTGGTTCCAATCATATCTCCTTGACCGCTCCCAGTTTATTCAACTTAAATCGTTCCGCTCTCGTCTATTCCCAGTCACTTCTGGTGTTCCCCAAGGCTCGGTCTTAGGCCCTCTTAGGCCCTTATTAATATACATCCTCCCTCTTGGTACCATTTTCCCTAAATTTGAGCTTTACTTACTTACTGTTTTGCTGATGACACCCAATTATATCGCTCCTGCAGGCCTGATTCCTCCCTCCTAACTTCTTCTCTTACAGAATGGTTATCCCAATTAAAATCCTGGTTCAGCTCTAATTTTCTTAAACTCAGTGAGAATAAAAGGGAAATCCTTCATATTGGCACTAAATCCAACCTACTGAAGACAAATCACTTTTACTCATCTCACTCTTTATTGAAAACTCCACAGTTTTCCCTTCACCTCAGGTTAAGAGCCTTGGTGCCATCCTAGACAGCTCACTGTCCTATAAATCTCATATCAAATGATCTCACCCATTCTATCTATTTCCATCTACAGTGGCTTGGCTGCATTTCTGATCAGCGCTCTCCTTGTTCAGCCTGTGAGTTTAGGTGGACGGCGTTGTCTTGGTAGGTTTGGTGCCATACTCTTTCCATTTTTTGAATGATCGCTTGAACAGTGCTCCGTGGGATGTTGAAGGCTTGGGAAATCTTTTTGTAGCCTAAGCCTACTTTAAATTTCTCAATAACCTTATCCCTGACCTGTCTGGTGTGTTCTTTGGACTTCATGGTGTTGTTGCTCCCAATATTCTCTTAGACAACCTCTGAGGCTGTCACAGAGCAGCTGTATTTGTGCTGACATTAGATTACACACAGGTGCACTCTATTTAGTCATTAGCACTCATCAGGCAATGTCTATGGGCAACTGACTGCAATCAGACCAAAGAGGGCTGAATAATTACGCACGCCCCACTTTTCAGTTATTTATTTGTAAAAAATGTTTGGAGTCATGTATGATTTTCATTCCACTTCTCAAGTGTACGCCACTTTGTATTGGTCTTTCACGTGGAATTCCAATAAAATTTATTCATGTTTGTGACTGTAATGTGACAAAATGTGGAAAAGTTCAAGGGGCCGAATACTTTTGCAAGCCACTGTATACAACATTAACAGATTACACCCTTCTCTTTCCACACAGTCTGCATCAATTGTTGTTCATAGTCTTGTTACCTCCCGCACTGACTATTGTAATTCTCTCTTGCATGGTCTTCCCCAAACTGGTTCAAAAAGCTGCTGTCCGCATTATTACCAGAACCCCCTCCTAGTAGCACATCACTTCAGGAACTTCACTGGCTCCCTGTGAAATTGCAAATAGTATACAAGCTTCTTCTGCTCACCTTCAAGGCCCTTCATAACCTTGCTCCTCCTTACTTTTCTAACCTTTTAAGCACTGCCTCTTCAGCCGGCTCACTTCGATCTTCTTCTTCTATCCAACTTGCTGTGCTTTCTTTGCACCACAGCACCATGGGAAGCAGAGCTTTCAGTTGCACTGCTCCCAGGCTTTGCTCCCAGTTTAAATCTCAACTCAAAACCTGTTTTGTTAAAATCTGCATATTAGCTATGACCTTATAGTTTGTTAACTTAACTTGTTTTTTTTGTTCTTCTTTTTGTCATTGTTCTACATTGTGCTTTATTTTATCGTTAAGTCTGGGTGGGTGTCTTGAAAGGTGCTTTTAAATAAAATTTAAAATTTATTTTTATTATTATCTGTGAACTCAATAGTCTTTTTTTAAGTAACTAAAGACTTACATTTTAATTTCCTTTTAGGTAACTTTGTGTATTTATATTTTTTAGTAGGCTATTTTTGATGTGAAGCACATATTTATCTTGAAAAGTCCTAATAAAATGGCGTGCCATTTCAGTCCACCGTTTTACTGATGCTATCAAGAAAATGTTTTACTATATTGTGGCTTTGAATATTATAAGTGTCCAAGAACATTTTAGTGTGTTTTTTATTTTTTCAATTTTAGCTTTTTCCCCTAAATTAAAAAAATAAGTAGACATCTTTGACATGAATGACGCAAAGTATAGCCTTGTTGCTATTGAGAACATTAACTTTTGAATCTGTTTTCAAAAAGCAACATAACATTTTGACAAGTAACTGTAATTAGCATTTCTCCTGCAGTGTTGCTATCAGTGTGTGAATAGTGGGAGAAGAGGGTTGCATTGACAATCCAACACAATGGGCAGCACATTGAACACATTTTATAAGTGGTCAGAAACTTGTAAATAACTCATGACAGAATAAAGTTACGTTGAAACCAAGCACACCATTGTTTTTCTTGTGACATTACCAATAATATTGATGTGTCACGTGGCCCTCTTCCTATTGAAAAAACAAAAGTTGTATTCAAGATGGCCGACTTCTAAATGGCCACCATGGTCACCAGCCATCTTGAGGAGTTTGCCCCCTCACATATACTAATGTGCCACAAACAGGACTTTAATATCACCAACCATCCCCATTTTATTACGGCGTATCCATATAAATGGCCCACCCTGTATAAAGAATAAAGAGAAACAGGAACTCAATAGTGTGAATATTTTAATATAATATCAACATTATATTAAAATATTTTATCAATGGCATGCTTGTGAAAGGCTTGTTAAACAAAGGGGAAAATGTCCTCCAAAGTGTTTATGACGTGATGATTTGTGATGAAGTTTCTTGAGAAGATTGTATTCAGGTCATCCACTTGGTTTAGGAAAGGAAATACGGCATAGATATTTCATAAGCAACACCTCATGTTATAATATGAACTGTCATCTAATCTAATTCGTTTGAGGTTTCTTGGAAGTTAAAACTAATGTCCAGGGATAAACTTCTAATATGTTTTTCTTTCTTTCTCTTTCTTTCTGCCTGCCAGATGCAATGTGGACAGCAAAGTCTCACGAGTGGCATGGCTCAATCGCACCACTATTCTATTTGCAGGGAATGAAAAGTGGTCTCTGGATCCTCGTGTCATCTTGTTGGAAAACACAGCAGTTACAGAGTACAGCATCAAAATCCAAAATGTTGATGTCCATGATGAAGGGCCCTATGTATGCTCTATACTCACAAACAAGAAACCACAGTCCACAAAAGTGCACCTCATTGTTCAAGGTAAGATGTGGCTACTGCTGCCAGTTCTGTCAGGAACTAGATTTAGCTCCAACAAATATCAAAAGTGTCATACGGGATCAGTGCTATGTGTTTCTTGTGTTTTCAGAGTGGATGTTTATGTTTATTTTCTAAGAAGAATTATTTAATTGTTTCTTTTAGAATTATTTCTATTCTTTTTATTTTCCTTGGGAAAAGTATTGCAGGGTCTTTGAAAAATAATTCACATGATCTTCAAAAAAAAGTAGTTTAACTTCATGATAGACACTTCCTTGAAATCATAAATTAACGCTGTGTGTTTTCAGACTGCATAATTCAATATGATATGTCAATATAACTTAACTGATGCAGGGAAGCATCCAGGCCATGGTTTTAATCAAACAATGGACAAGCATATTCTTTCACAGACACGGAAGCACAACTCCAAGTTGTACTTTCCTATGGATTTTATCTTTGTTATAACTTTGAATTTGCCACCTCGGGCTCCAAATCATTTCTTTTCTTAACCAAGCTCATCAGAGAACCAATTTTAGCCTCTCTCCATGCTTTAAAGAGGTTGAGGTGATGGATTTGTGCGGCCCCGCCCCTGTCTGACCATACCACTTCATAATTAATGTCTCTTACTTGCCACGTGACCACCAAGAGCCGTTGCTACTTGGTGGGTTGAATAAAGCAAGCAATACAAGCACTTTCCCGTTGAAAACTGCCTGAGATGAGCCTCTCTGTTTTACAGGAGATGCTGACATTCCAGGGACTTGAGCAAATTATTCCATGAGAACTTCCCAGTTTGTGTAGCTTTGCTTTCTGGTCCAGAATGTAGTGAATTTTATTCCTAGCTTGGCTTGAACCTTCATCCCAGTTTTCTTTAGTTAGGTCCAACACCCCCTGTGGCTTCTGGCCGAACAATAACTCAGGTCGAACAACTTTGCGTCGCCGCTGCGCACAGCACAGGCATCATAAGTTTTATCATTTGTGAACGCATCCTCACACACTGCCCCAACAAGTTATTTAACCAACTACAACTACTACCAACTACAAAACTGTTGTATACCTCCTTGGCACCTTTCCAGTACACTGCACATCCCTCCTGGTCCAGGGGAGGGTTTCAGAGAGCTTGCCACCATGTCACCAAGCTCAAATGATCTCAAACTGGTTTCAATGAGTTCTTAAACTGTCAACAGATCTCAATCCAATAAAGGGTATTTGGAATGTGGAACAGGAGATTCACATCATGATTGTGCATCCAAAAAATCCGCAGCAATCCATAATTACAATGTTATTACAAACTGAAATCTCTGCAGAATGTTTTACAGCACTATGTGGTGCCACTAGTACTACTGTCTCATAGCAAAAAGATCCTGGGTTTTAATCCTCTGGCTGGTGCCCTTATGTATGGCATATCACATGTTCTCCCTGGGATTCCTGTGGGTACCCTCTCATCCTCCAACAGTCCAACGACATACATATTAGGTTAGTTTGAAGGTGTGAATGTAAATATGAATGGTTGCTTCTTTTTGTGTTAGTCCTGTTAAAGACTGGCAACCCTTCCAGGGTGTACCTTGTGTCTTGCTCTATGAAAGCTGGGAGAGGCTGTAGATTGCCTGTAATCCTGAATTAAACAATCTTAAGAAAATAGGTACTATGGTTAATATTTAGGTCTAACCATTTTTAATGGCTATTATACACTATTATAATTATAATTTCAATAATTACCTTAATGACATATAATTGTGTACAACACTTAGGAAATGGTTTTACAGAGTGGGTTCCGGTCGAGTGGACACTGGCGTGCTTGGCTGCTGCTGCTCACCGGTTATTATTACAATTTTTATTATAATTTTTTCAGTTGCTGATGACAATTTGAATCGAGTATCTAAGGTGCAACCCTGTTTTGACTTGTTTTTGCAATATTTGCAGGCTTTTATTGCTTGCGCTGCAGCTGTCAACTGGTTATTCGGTCCCTACGTTTGTGTTCACTGCTCGGCCCTGATTAAGATGCGGATCCACAGGGTGTTGGTGTGGCTCATGCTCACCTGGGTTTTTTTTATCGATCATTCATCACCCAACGACAGCTCTTCTCTAGTACTCTGCTACGGATCTTTTGCGAATCGGTTTTTGCCTGGCTGTCTCTTCACCTGTGGCTCTATACTTCTACTCGGACATCGCCTTCAAGCCCCGCCGCAGGTATATCCGCCGAGGGCTTTGGCGGAATTTCAACATCAGTGACACTAACTCACTATTGTCCATCTGGTCACAAACTCGTCATCCTCCCCGCAAGACTGACTGGGCTGTTGACCACAATGGGTGGTCGATCGTGGCTCAAGAGTTTTGAGTTCGCCTTGTAATTGGAAGTTTGCCGGTTCGAGCCCCGGCTTGGACAGTCGTTGTGTCCTTGGGCAAGGCACTTCACCCGATGCCTACTGGTGGGGGGCAGAGGTCTCACGATAATTTACCGGAAGCACTGGAAAGTTCTCCCTGTCTCTGCCCCTCCCTCCCATTCATTTGAATACATAGCACTACAGCTCCCTGGATCTACCCCACCATCATATGTACTGTTTATCGGCCACCTAAGCCAAATAAGGAGATTTTAACTGAATTTTCTGCTCTTCTCACTCATTTCTCTGTACTTTTTCCAAATCTGATAATTGTTGGTGACTTCAATATTGATATGGACAATGATAAAATCCCTCTTTCCAGAGATTTTACCTCCTGCCTGGAAAGTTTTTGGCTTCTACAGTACATAAAATCCCCTACCCATTCTAAAGGTCATATCCTGGATTTGGTCTGTTGTTCTGGCATTACCCCCACCCATTGTAAAGCCACATTGTTTCCCCAGTCTGATCATATGTATAAATTTTTTGATGCAAACATAATCGCTTCCAAAACCTGTATCTCTCGTAATATTACTTTTAGGAAAATTAGTAATATTAACCCAGCTGGTTTTTCATCTGCCGTCCATGACCTTCCATCTATTCACAGCTCCTCAACCCCTCATGAACTCGTTTGCCATTATAATGTCAACCTTCATAACCTTCTTAACATATTTTCTCCCCTTAAACATCGAACTGTCTCATTTTCCCATTCAGCACCATGGTTTACCCCCGACCTGCGTCATCTTAAAGCTAAAGGACGCCAACTCAAACGTCTATTCAAGAATACCGGACTTATTGTACATAAAGAAATGTACAATGATCATGTTTTGTTCTATAAGGACTGCATTGCCTCAGCCAAATCTGCTTACTACTCTGGTTTAATTAGTTCTAATGAAGGTAACTCCAGGTCTCTCTTTTCATTGTTCAGTAAAATGACAAAACCTCCAGACACATTCCCCTCCCACATGTATTCTGTTGATTTTTTCCCTCTTCCCTCCATAACTGATGTATCTAATCTTATTAAAAAATCTAAGTCATCCACCTGTCAACTTGACCCTCTCCCTACTGTGTTAGTTAAAGCCTGCCTTCCCTCGTTAGCACCTCTCATAACCAATATTATTCATTCCTCCCTGAACACTGGAATCATTCCTTCATCTCTGAAAAATGCTTCTGTTATTCCAATTCTCAAAAAGCCTGGTGCAGACCCCAATAACTTTGATAATCTTCGCCCTATATCAAATCTCCCCTTTATTTCAAAAATTCTTAAAAAAGTTGTCGCCTCCCAGCTTCATTAACATCTCAATGACCATAATCTCTATGAACAATTTCAATCTGGTTTCCGCCCCAATCATAGCACAGAAACTGCTCTGTTAAGAATTACCAATGACCTTCTGATGGCAGCTGATTCTGGTCTCCTATCTGTTCTCATCCTTCTTGAGCATAGTGCGGCGTTTGATACCATTTCTCACAATATTCTCCTGAACCGGTTAGCTTCCCTTGGCATTAGTCACACACCCCTTGCCTGGTTCACGTCCTATCTCTCAGACGCACTCAGTTTATTGAAAATTTAAATCCCATTCTTCAAGTCTCTATCCTGTTTCTGCTGGTGTGCCCCAGTGTTCAGTATTAGGGTCTCTTTTATTCATTATTTATATGCTCCCTCTTGGTCATATATTCTGAAAATATAATATAAATTTTCATTGTTATGCCGATGACACCCAGCTCTACATTTCTTCTAAACCCAATTCATCCCTCCCACCTACCTCCCTCTTAGACTGTCTTATTGAGATTAGATCCTGGTTCTCCTCCAATTTTCTCAAACTTAACAGTAATAAAACTGAAGTTTTACTTGTTGGTACACCATCTATCTTAACCAAATCCAACAGTTTTTCCATTAACATTGAAAATTCTCCTACCCTTCCATCCCCTCAGGTTAAGAGTTTGGGTGTCATACTTGATAATACTCTTTCATCTCAGTCTCACATTAATTACATAACCCGGTCTGCTTACTTCCACTTACGTAATATTAACCGACTCCGCCCCTTCCTTACTCCCCATTCTGCTGCCATCCTTGTCCATAGTCTTACTACATCCCGCATTGATTACTGCAATTCCCCCCTATTTGTTCTCCCTAAAAGGTCCCTTCATAAACTCCAACTTCTTCAAAATTCTGCAGCTCGGGTCATAATTCATACTCCATTAAGAGCTCATATTACCCCAGTTCTTAAGCAGCTTCACTGGTTGCCCATAGAAGCCAGGATAAATTTTAAAATCTTACTTCTTACATACAAGTGTATCCATAAATCATATTTGTGTGACCTGCTCCACATCACCACTGTTTCCCACCCTCTCAGATCATCATCTGCTATTCATCTTACTGTTCCATCCTCACGGCTTATTACTATGGGGAACAGAGCTTTCAGTCGCTCTGGAACTCTCTTCCTCCAGCCATAAGAAATATTGACTCCCTTTCCGTATTTAAGACACAGCTCAAAACACATCTGTTTAAACTGGTTTATTCGCTTTAGTGCTGATTTTATCTGTTGTCAAGTTCCGTTTTGCCATTTCAACTTATTTTATGTATTTTATGATTATTGTTCATTTTATTAATTTTGTTCTTTGTAAGGTGAC